CATTGCATTGTAATTGTATTAAACTAATACAATAACTAAGTATATTGTAGAAACGAAATTACTGAAAAACTTCTTCAATTTGATAATGATAAGAATCATAAGAGCTATAATTTACCATTTATAAGAGCTATAATGTCTAACCATTATTTGACGAAGACAGGTTTTCATCCACTATCTTGCATCATTTCCTTATTTTGTGATGAATAAATCCCACTCCCCCTATTCAGCTTATGACAAGAACATACTGGCACATGAATATTATAAACTACAAACTAAAATTGCATATCTTATTCTTAAAAGATTACTTTATTTCTTATTCTGCAAGGATTACTTTTTAACACTTTTCCAACAAAAATTGAAAAAAAAAAATAGTGATTATTAGTTTTTAGATAGAAAGGTGCGAAATTTTATGTGTAAAAAGATCTACAAAAAATTTGTTCCCCTAGCAGAAAATTTTCATCTATCTCCAAACCTCTAAAAATAACAGCCCTTCAAAGAACTAAAATTGCAATTTTTTGATTATTTATTTAAAAGAAACCATAAAGCTGCAGCTTCTTCTATTATAGTAAAAGACATATGCATGAATATTGAATTGACAAAATAAAATTAACAAAATTGACAAAATGCCTGAACTCTTTGTTTTCAAATTTTTGATATCGTTTTTCTCTTAAACAAGGAGCCTGAATTTTTAGCAGCTCTTAAATACTAATACAGAGATTATTTCGTTAGAATAAAATTTTTTTCCATCTCAACTTGAAAGGGATCGCCTTTTGAAAATTGTAAAATTTGAATATTTAGCACCTAGTATTTCCGAAATTGTTTCCAAATTTTTTTAAAATCAGAAAAGGAAACAGTAAATGCCATGCCATTTAAAAAATATAATTATTTTTCAATTAATCCTTAAATTTTAGCATTATATTAACGCCTCTTAAAAGTGCTACATTACAAATAATTAACTTAAACCAACTTTGTTTGTATATATATATATATATAGCTACTCAATTTTAAATAGTACAGGTGCGTCAATATTATATATATATATATATTTATGTATATAAGATTTTTATTGTAGAAAAAAGCTCTTTTAAATTCTATTATTAACAGGTGTTTTTGACCTACATTAATGCAATCTTAAATAGTTCTTTTTTTTTTATACAAAAAATTTTGTGATTCCTTTTGAAGTTTTTCTTTTTTTTTCTTTTATTTTTTTTTTGTTTTTGAGAATAACCTGAATTAGTATAACCTACTTTCATTATTATTATTTTTGTTGCAAATTTTTATAAAGCAAAAACAATGAGGCTATAACCAGAAACACAAAACTTTTAGGTCTTTGTTTTTTTAATTTTTTTTTTCACAAATCTGTTCTCTTCTCTGTTTTTTTTGTTAAAATTTTTCAAATTAATGTTAATTAAAAATTTAGTAGCGGTATTGTGAACTGTGTTTAAGGAGATTGTGCATCACACACTTAAAAATTTATAATTTATTAAAATGATTTTAAACGCAGAAATAAAACACATAAAAGAAAAATAAATTTTTTTTTACCATTACCAAATATTTTTACCATTATTCTTACCACACACAAGAAAATAGAAAAAAAATCACAAAAGGAACCCCCCAAATATGTAGTTGTTTTGTAGTTTTTTATTCACATTACACATATTTAATATTTAATTTATAATATTGTGTGTTAATTTGTGTTATACATATTTATATAACAGTTATAGTTTCAACATATAAAAATTTGTACTTGTATGTAATTAAAATTCATAAGAAAATTTTGAATAAGAGTGAAAAATCTAAAACAATAAAAAATAATTTATACAAATTAAAAAGTGTTATACATAGGCGGAAGTTATAAAAAGTGAAAATATCAGGTTAGAAATTTTATTTTTATGATTTTGTGTTTTCGTTATACTTATCTACGGTTTCTAAATAATTTATTAGAATTGGAAATTTAGACTGAAATGGTTACTTGAGCATGACACCTTTAACATTAATAAATATTTACATATATATGTTCCATATCTTACCTTCCAATGTTTTAGGCCGTTTATTAAGCATTACCCTAGAAAATATTATCATTCAATTTTAAGGTTTTTTTAAATTAGATTTTCACAATCTATACACGTTCTCTATATTTTAGATTTTAAAATTTTAATAATTAATTTTTGATTTTTAAGATTGAATTTTAAGGAATCGTATGAGTCATAATTTATAGAACCAGTTGTACCAATATTGGGCACATGTTGTACACATGTATACGTAAATTATTTAAAGGTATTTTTCAATTATTCGATTTTAATGTGAAATTAAATTGAAAAGCATATTAATCAATTGGTGAAAATTACATTTTGGACAATGAAACTATGTAATTAAAACTAGTGCATGATATCACAGACAATCTCGCCCCAGTTTCATTGCGTTATAGAGTTTTAACATAACTAGGTAGCTTATCGTGACTAGCTTATCGTAATAATGTATGCAATAACTATATAATAATAATATACATATAATTATTACTAAACAGAATTGTAAGGCACACAATTAAATTTTTATAAATACAGTTCAGTTACATAAAAAAATTTAAGAAGCTCAAGAAAGGCAATAACTGCTCTACGATATATACCTTCTATGCATATACATGTATACCTTTTTTCTTCATTTTCAAATAGTAATTTTGTACTACTTAATCTCTAAATACTACTACAGTACTTCTCGCTTAAGTAAAAATAATAGCATAATTAATTGAGAGTGCCTTCTTTGATTTATTAAGACCACATATGTACATATGTATATGTATTAATTGTTTCCATATAAAATATATAATATGCCGACATATATAAAGATTATATATTTTTATTTTTTCGCAATATTAAATTTCATTTTTTGATATCGCTAAGTTCTATTCTAAAAAAAAAAAAATTAATTTATCCTATATGAATGAACTTGAACTTGATTTTTTTTTAAACCATTTAATATATGTTATGCACATATACATAAATATAAAATATGTAAGTATATTATTTTTATGAACTTTGTTAACCACCTTTATTTAATAATAAACGCGCATGTTATCGTATACACAGTATCCTTTCTTTATTTTTTGTTTTTTTTGTTTATTTATAAATCTACCATATTTAATTATTATTATATGACATAAAAATAAGAATTTTAAATATAGAATCATATACTACATACATGCATATATATACAATCTTTAATTTATTAAAATTAATGTAATTACGTATATACGATGAATAAACAAGAGGAAATAACTACAGTACTTTCGTGATTTAAGTGACTGCTCTAGTAGAAGTTCTTATTTAATTATACTTTCTAGTTATGTATAAATGGATACGAAGTTCTTTCTTATATTAATTCTTTAAACAGGTATACAAATATTATTTTAAATAAATTCTAGCTCTAAAATCTTCTATGATTTTCAGTTTTATAGGCTAAAACTATTTTACACAAAATTATAACATTAAAATCAAAAGTGAAGGAAATTCAAAAGTGAAATTGTGTACCTCTATACACAAACTGGAGCTGTTTCAAGCCAACAAGAAGAATTATGAAAATTGTGCGGAACTACATATATGAAAAATTACGCAAGTTTTAGAAAAAGTTAACATGCGTTCTCGTCCAAAAAAATGTCTGAGCTAAAATATAAGATACATTTTATAAGTAATGGAAAAATATTGCACTAAAAGACAAAAATTTGTTATAAAAGAGAAATATGGATCCTCTTTAACTAATGCAAACAATTATTTTAAGTCACTCTCTTATTTCAGTCGGATATCATTGGAAGTGTATTCTTATTCTGTTTTCTAATGTATACAAGTAATTACAAATTTTCCCAAACAATTTAAATAATTTAAGAATATTTTGGTATACGCATTTAATGGCTATCGATATTTTTTCTTTACAATACTTAACAAAAGTATGCAGATTGCAATTTCAATAAATTACGAGAGCACTGTATTAAAATTTGTTTGTATATATTAAGAATATACATGTACATATACGTGTATAATATTTTATAATAAGGAATTATACATATACATAGTCACCAACTAACAATAATAAACAGTAAAATATATTGTATGTATTTACAATATGTGATACATGGTGACACCAATAAACAAAATAACAAAACAATCTTGACAATCTATTCAATCTATAACGGAATATAACAAAAAATGAACTCTTTATTTTTAAGAAAGAAAAACAAGGACAACAAAAAAAATTCGAATATATCGCACCCTTATTAAAATAACTCAACAAGTCAAAGTAATTAATTTTTTGATTTAAGTATACCATTTAACGTGTAAAAATTCTATTTATTTTGTTCTAATCAGCCTGGTATACACAATGTGTTTATTCGCTATTTTTACGTAGTCAATTTTTCCGAAAAATTTTATCAATTCGAAATTTTGCAGTCATATTCCCATGAAAGGATCATGAAAGCATATCCAAGTATTTCTATCTTTATTGGTGTTAAAGCTCTTAAATTTGCTTTACGCTTTCTGCTATACTATACCAAAAGAAATGTCTTTATTTATCTCCAAATAGAGAATTTGCATACTCAAAAGAAAATTCCAAACTTTAGACCAGATGTAATTGAAACTATTAATTCCGTAATGTGGCATTATTGCTCTTAAGGTGCAATATAACAACCTCAAATAAAAAATGAAAAAAAAAATGAAATAAATTATTTATTGCCAAAGCAACTAAAATAAACAAATTTTTATTTTCTTAAAATTTAAAAGAGAAAAGACAAGAAAATAAAGTGAAAATTTTTCTTACAATAAAATTGATTTTTAATTTTCTTGTTTTTGTTTTAAAAAAATTAAATAATTTTATAAAGATATCAATTAAAAATATTTAAAAAAAGGAAGAAAAAACTTTTCCAGAAAATAAAAATAAAAAATTTTTATATTATAAATGAAGTAAAATCATTATTTGAGAAGAAATACAAATACAAAAAAAAAATACAAGAAATGCCAGAACAAGAAATTCCAAATGATGATAATTTAAATGATTCACAAGGATCATCATTATCATCAACTTCATCACTTCATAATATTAATGTAGATCGTGAATTAATTATTAATCAAAGATTTCGTCCAAATTCAGCTGATTCAAATTCATCATTAAATGATATTAATAATCGTTTAATTATACAAAATAATGATGATTTAAATCCAAATAATGATGAAGAATTTTATAATCCAAATCAACCATATTTATTTCCAGTTCAATTACCTCATCAAGTTCATTTTGAGACAACATTGGATGTATTATTGGTAAAAGAATTTCTTAAAAATAGTTATAATTCACACGATATTGTTATAATAGAAAAGACAGAATTGTTATAATAATAATATTAAAAGTTATAGGAATAACAATAATAATAACATACATACATACTACAATAAAATGTATGTACATATATATAAAATTGTAATAATTGGGCACACAAACGTATATACAAATTTATACTGAAAAATCAATTAATATTTTCATGGAAAATTCTTAAATACAAAAAAAAATATTTTGGATGTGCCATACAAAAATTAACGCGCAATTAAATTTTAATATGCCCCGAAAATTATGCAATTTTTCATTTTTACAATTTATAATTTACGATTATTTGGTTATTTTGAAAATTATTATGTTTTATATTTTTAATTTCAATTAAATAAAAGGACTGTTATACCTTAAAACAATTGTTTCAATGGAAAGGAAGATGTTTTTTCGATTGAAATTTCAATTCCACCGTACATACATGGTTGTGTTTTAATTTGCATCTTATTCCTTAAAATCTTTTTTACAATCCTTTCTTAATTATTAAATCAGACACAAAATAATTTTCAATAAATAGCAATTTAATTATTTACATCAACATTAATAAAAAAACCATTTTTTGTTTAAATTAATATTTATTATTCTTATTTTTATACGCAGCGTAATGTTACTGGACGTTCTGATTTACAAAATGTTCATTCAATTAAATTACGTGTTATATCAGCTTCAGTTAGCCTATATACTTTATCAGTTTATATGCCGAATTTAACATCATTAAATTTAGAGGGTAGTGTATTATCATCATTACGTGATCTTGGTTATAATTTACATAATTTAACATTTTTAAATGTATCAAATTGTGGTCTAACTAGTTTAGATGGTACAAGTGGTTTTCCATCAGTTGAAATGTTAATTGCCGATAAAAATATGATACAATTAATTGGTCCAATACAAAATTTAATGATATTAAAAAAATTAAGTTTAAAAGAGAATCAAATAACAAATTTAAATTGGTTAACATTTTTGGGTGCATGTACATTATTAGAAGATGTTGATTTACGTGGTAATCCTGTAATACAAAATCCATATTATAGAATAACATTAAAACAATCAATGCCGAATTTAAAATGTTTAGATGGTATTACAATTGATGATGATGATAATGAAACTGATAAAAATGATGATATGAGCACTGATGATAATGAAAATTATTCACCATCAACACTTTCAGATGATAATTCAATTGATGAATCATTAAAATCAGATTTAAATAATAGTTTAGATTCAGTTGAAATTATGGAACGTCCATCAACAAGTAATGGTGTTTGTTTAATTAGAGTTTCAGATAATAATAATAATAATAGCTCTAGGAGACCATCAACAGCAACAACTTTAGGTGAATTATTTTTTAAAATTTTATTTTATTCTTATTATTGACTCTTTTCATTTATATATTATTTTAGAATTACAAAATCGGCGAAAAATATTAACATCAGGACCACCAATATGTGGTTCTATAACAAGTTTGATTCGAAAAAAAAAATTAAATGGAACAGAAAGGAAAACAGCATGGAAAGAATCTTCTGATAAAAGTTCTTCTTCATCGTTCTCTTCCGAGAATAGCTTTCAAATGACAATTGAACGTTCAAAGAAATTAATTGAAAAAAATTTTCCAGAACGTCTACCACAAACAAATGTTGATTTAAGTTCATCTGAGGTTTTAAATATTGATTTAGAAAAGAAAACTTAAAATTTTAATATTGGAGTATGTATAAATGTTACAACTCAAAATTAAAATTAATATTAAAAGCTTTAATTTAAAAAAAGAAAACAAAGATCACCTCACTTTGAAAAAATATTAATTATGATAATGGCGGGTAAAAGTTTTATAGTATAATCTAGTATAGGATTAAATTGAATGTCAAATTGTTGAAATGTTATGTGATTGTTACGATAATAAGGAAGTAAAGATTAAGTTTTGGTCTATATGTAAAAGCAAATTTTTTTATTTTTTTTTATTTATAAAAAAATTACTACTATTATACACGTTAATTTAATTTCTATATTAAGGATTTTACAAGAACTTACAATAGCAAATTTTATTAGCATCGTATGAAAAATAAAATTGAGATCTTCTGTTTTGTTATAAAAGTTCAGTGGTTCAATAGGTTACACAATAAGACTGCTTATCTGTATAAGAACATATTAATAAATTTAACTTTCAATAAGCTGTTAAATTTATGTTTATAGAATAGGTGTGTGAAAATTTCAAACCTGAATATTTTGTACTTTCGCAACCATTCCAATTAAGTTGAAATTTATTAGAAATTTTAATTATTAAATAAAATTATAACCATTATTTAAAAATTAACTATAACGTACTTGAATTTTAACAATATTTTTCATAATTTTCATTAATGTTTGTTATATGAACATTATATTTTAAAGATTATTTTCATTCACAATTTAAATTTTGTGAAAAATATACTGCATGTTCTAAAATTTAAAACTTCTTTCTTAATAATAATGTAGTTAAATAGTCATTATCAGTATTAATTCCATTTATCAGTAAACTTTTCATTCAAGAACTTTTAGAACAATAAGGCTCTAATTATGTTGTTCAATTGAATATTTTAGAAGAATATTTTATCTAAGATACAAAATGCAATTAGATAAAAATGTTTTCTTATTGCACAAGAACTTTTAATTGTTCAACAACAAAAACATTATATGTTAAAATACAATATACCTGCGCTACACGAAAAGATTTTGTACATTGCAATTGGCTTAAGACTTAGAATTTTTTATATTTTTCACTTTTAAACAAAATTTTTATTAAAATTTCTCTCGTTGTTTTAGATGAAATTGACAAAAGCAACAATGCAAAATTTAAATGCAAAATTAGAAAACAATATTATTCTTACCTTCAAATAGTAGCTAATATGAGTACATGGTTTTGATACTTATTACATCATCTGACACGTATTAAAGCTTTCGTTCAAATTTATACTTGATGAGATTATAGTAATATAAGAGTAAGAACAGAATTATTATTATGATTAATGGGCTGCTCAGATTATCGCGACACTGCGGCAACAACAGTCGCACGAAGTGTTAAAGTATTATTCAATCCAATTTTAAAATATAGTGGACATTAAATAGTCGCAGAATTTCGAAAAATTAAATGTTTGTCGGTGCGGAATGCAATGACAATTGAAGGATAAATATCATTTTTAATTTTGGAAATAAAAATTGTAAGAAAAAATATACCCATAATAAAAAAAAATAGTAATGGTAAAATTAGTCGCTGTCGCTGCCTATGCAAACTGCGACAACATCATTTCTGCGGTATCTTGTACAACTCTCGCTGTCGTGCACGCTGATAGGAACATCACATAATAGTAATAATACAAAAACATGTTCTATTCACGAATTCACGAATTTACTACAGCCATTAAATTAACTATTCAATAAATTTGTTATATTTACATGAACCCACTTGTTCTATTATATAAAATTTCTTATGCATATTATTTATTTAATATTTTCATTGCTTATTTATTCCAGAGTTGAAATATACTTGTATAATCAGTCAGTCAAAAATATATTTACAAAATAATAATTTACCTTTATACCAGAATATGCTGTCTTCAAATTATTCAGAATTTATTTCAAATATTACAAAATATTTTCTTCATTTTAATGTGAATATATCTTATAAATCAACATTATTTTATCATACAGTTGAATATAGCATGCAATTTCAATATAAACTTTCTATTTGGGAGTGATGCATTTTATCCGATTTTATTAATGCTTCTGACATTTTACATTGTCACATAAAATAATTTTCAATTTAACCGTATCCTATATATTTAATTTTCTCATTAATAAATTTAGGTCAAATCTTATTTACTTTCATGGAAGTAAATTTAAAATAATAAAATTTATTGAAATTTCAATTTCATCTTTCGTATTATTATTAAAATAAAAATAAATATTGTTATATGCTGTATCGTTCCGATAAAAAAGAGAGAACAAAAAAGAGAACTTTATAATATTTAAGAAAGTGTAAATTAATTTTTTTTTTGTTATTATCTTTTACTTACATGACACTTTATTTTCACTTGACTAAATGAGAGAACTATAACATTAATTTTTAAATTTTTTGTTTGTTTTTATTTTACTTTCTCTTTATGTATAGCCAATATTTTTGTTTTTTATTTATTTTCTTTCTTATAGTGTTATAGTAGTAATGATGAGATAATTGACCTTCCTTGAAAATTGAATGTGACTTAATTTTCAAGTTCATTATTATCACACTTTTTATCATTGGCGTTTAAACACAAGTCTGATTATTGTTCTTTATTATAATACTATGTCAAAAAAGGAATATGATTCACATATATAATATTAAAATTTTTTTAGTACGTGACCTAATTTTGAAAAAAAAAATATCTAGAAAAAAAATAAAAATAAGTATAGATATAAAATAATACAAGAAGTGTGTTAGTGCGTATGTGAATAAAATTTCATGATAAAAAGTTCAAGAACCTACGAAAAATTAAAATTATATATGAATATAAAAGCATTGATATACAAAATTTTAATATCATATAAATAGGTGAAAATAATTCAATAGAAATTTATATTATTATCGAGTGTTGAATTAAAAGCGACCTTATAACTGAGAAAAATTAACCCTTCCTCAAAAATTAAATTTTTAATATAATGAAACCAAATATTATAAATTCGCTTTATATTTTAATAATATTATTTAAAAGTAGTGTAGCTAATAATGAAACTGAAAATAATTTTAATGAGAAATTATTAAAATTATATAATGAAATCAATATTAAAGAAGAAAATTTAGATAGTGTTCGAATTATTGGTGGTAAAGAGGCTCAACCAAATCAATTTCCATATCAAGTTGCTATGAGTATTTTAATGAATAATAAAAATATTCAAGTTTGTGGTGGTGTTTTAATATCAAATTCATGTAAGTTATTTAATATAAGAATATTGTCTATTGAATATTAAAATAAGTTATATTAAAAATTTTATTTCATTTTTTAAGGGGTACTAACAGCAGCACATTGTTTATATAAGTAAGTATAAATATTTTTTAATATTATATAATTTGAATATAATCATGTAGAGTATATAATAATGTAATGAGAACAAAATTTATATATAAAATGCACAAAACCATTTTTGTGGAATTAAATATAAATTTTGCTTTTTGTAAATATTTGTAAGTATGAGTAAGTTTTGCTTATAATATACAGAGAAAATTATATTTATTTGTAAAGAAAATAAAAATTTCTTTCTCATTCATTCAAAAATTTCAAAGACACTTCATTTTAATAAGGACAAGAATTTTCCATCTCCTCAAATAATTTTTAACAAAAAATGCTAAATAATTTTACCCTTCTCTACTCCTCCTCAAGCTATTAGGTGATAGTTATGAAATACTGCTAATTTTTGATAGCATATTTTGGTACAACCAAAAGAAATTTTTGCATTTCACAAATTGCAATAAGTTTACAACTTATACCTCAAAGAAAAAATTTAAGAAAATTAATTGAGAATGCAAAATGAAAACTAAAATTACTCTAAACCATTATTTTTTTCATAATTTTTGATATGATTTCTCTAATGAACGGTAGGTCTCAAGCATTTATAGACATAAATGCATATTCCATTTTATTAGAAAAAAAAAACTGTTCATTTCTGAGCATACCCAGATCTGACTTGTTCGGTATCCTATGCGGCTTCCAAAAGAATATTACGCATAATAAATCACTTTCTTGTAACCTTATCATACTGAATGCAAGATTAATCATTGTTAAGAAAAAGAACTCGAAATTTCTTTTCCGGAAGAACTTTTAGCCTTTTGCTTTGCAATGTTTGTATGTAGGTACATGTTATCAAGTTAATTTCATTGTAAAAGAAAGAAAAAATGTTTTGGCAAATACGTAATGGAAAATATTTGAAAAAATTTTTATATTTTTAAAATTTAGTTTTTTTTTAAGTTTTCAATTGCGTTCCTGTTTTCAGGGTTCATTGCAGATGCTTACTTTGCATATATGGTAGATTCAGCGCTGCTTCTTAATTATTACACTTTCCTGATTTAACTTTACTGTCAATTTCATTTTACTGTTATGCAAGTGTAAAGCTTTTTCAAATGCACTTGTAAACAGCTTTCTTCTAAAATCCCACTTAAATTTTTTTTTGCTAAAATTTGGTTATTATTGAACAAGTTTCAGAAATTTTACAGTTTCATACTTAATGCTTAATGTGCCAAATCATTAGATTTCATTAAATGTATTTTTAATACATTAAATATATTCTTTATGATAGAATTTAAAATTTTATTTATTTTTAATATAGAGCTACTGCAGCTGAAGTTGTTTTAGGAGCACACGACGTAACTAATTTATATGAAATCACACAAAAGAGGATAACAGTAAAAAATAATAGTTTTATAATACATTCAGCTTATCCGAAACAATGGATTGATATTGCTTTAATAAGATTACCAACTTCTATTCCATACAATAGTAAAAATTTTAACATAAAAGAATAAAAAAAAATTTATCATGTTAATAAATACGATTTTTTTACATATTTTTAGGAGTTATAAAATCAATACAACTACCATGTAATAGAGATTCTCAACGAAATTTTGTTGGAAAGAATGTTCTTGTATCTGGATGGGGAATGATTTCAGATAGTTAGTATATTTGAAAATTTTGTTATAAAATTAATAAAATATTTTTTACTTATTAATTTATTTAAATTTTAAAGAACCTGGAAGTCTATCAAAAACATTAAAATATACTAATATACAAGTAATATCATCTGAAACCTGTAAAAAATATTTTGGTTCAGCATTAGCTGTAGATCCAACATATATTTATTGTGCTAATGGAATAAAAGGTACATCAACATGTAGTGGTGATTCTGGTGGTCCATTAGTTTCATTAACATCAGATGGTAAAGTTGATAAATTAATTGGTATTGTATCATTTGGTATGGTTGGTGGCTGTACAAAAGGTTATCCACAAGGTTTTGTTAAAATTACTTCATATTTAAAATGGATCAATGAAAAAACTGGTGGTGATGTTAAAATTTGTTAATTAAAATTTTAAATTTTAAAATAATTGAAATAAAAATTTAATTTAAATTTATTTATTAAACAAAAAAAATTAAATAACCTGATGATTTTATTTTAGAATGTACAGTTAGGGATACTTTTGTAAAAAGTACAAGGGCCTTACAAGTTATATTTGGAGGGAATTAAGAAATAATCACTGAGCTAATAAGTAATAGTAGTCTGATATATACAAAGATATTTACGTATATAAATTCTTTCTCCCTGTCGAATCTGAAGTACATTCCAGCGATGTCTCAAAAATTTGAATTAGATTTAGTTCACATAATTTTCACAAATAATATTTATAGTAAGAAATAATACTAATACTCGATTAATTTGGAATAGAATTAAGTTAGCGACCCGAATAGCTACCACACAACTTCAAAATTTAAACTGGTATCTGAAAATTATTCAGGCTATTGTGTTATCAAATAAAACTGTTCAATTATTGAATAAAATATCAGGAAAGTAAAAAAACTAAAAGGTCTTTTTTTTCTGCTCTGAAAATTGTATTTGAATCAAACTACATTAATTTATTCAATGGACTTTTTAGATCTAATTTTCTCAAGCGTATATAACAAAACAATTTGCCATTAATTTTCTAATTAAACCATAACAATTGAACAGCTCGTTTAAAATGTTAATTTTCTGTGATAAATGCATCTAGGCTCCTATGAAAATTATTACAAAACAAAAAAACACTTTTATTTTTGACCAGAAAATGATTAGTTTTAAAGTGCATAGGACACAATATTTGAATTTTATTTAAAATGAAACAAAAATTAGTAGATATTCTTTTGATTTTATCTTTATATTGCTCTGTGAATTTTGCTCAAATCAATGAAAATTATCAATTCAATCCACTTTACAAAATGTATCCGCGCCCAAAAATAATTAGAGGGATTGAAGCTGCCAGTAACATGTTTCCGTATCAAGTTGCTTTAACAATGCTTACACCATCACACCAATTTGTAAGTTGTGGTGGTTCATTAATTCATAAATCATGTAAGTGTGGAATAAATTAATGTTCAAATGACTAATGCAACTTTTCATTAGAAAAAATTATTTTTTTTGTAATTTTATGATTTTTAGGGGTTCTTACGGCAGCACATTGTCTGGATGAGTAAAATTTAATAAAATACATTTTAAAATATTTAAATAAAAATGTTTTTATATATTAATTTTTTTTGACTCTAGATTCGTGGAAATTGAAGTAATTTTAGGAGCACATAATAGAAAAAATCCACGTGAGCCAACACAACAACGATTTAAAGTTTATCCAAGGAATTTTATAATTCATTCAAATTCTCCATCAGCAGATATTGGTTTAATAAGATTACCAGCACCAGCCGTATTGAATAGTAAGTTTTAAGTTTAAGTGTTTTGGCAAATTTCCACAAAATTACAAAGTTAATTTTCAGAAGCTGTAAGACCGATACAATTACCTTGTTTTAATGATGTGAGAAAAAATTATGTCGGAAATACTGTTATTGTCTCTGGTTGGGGACAAACAAAAGATGGTTGGTTATTTTATTTTTTTTTTTTCATAAGTTATTAATAAAATTTTAATATTTAATATTTATTTTAGAATCAAATAGTATTGCAAGTCTATTAAAATATGCTGTTTCTAAAATAATTCCTAATAGAGAATGTACTAATATTTATGAAGAATTTTTTAACGCATTAGAAATTCCAGAAAGAAACATTTTTTGTGCAAAAGGAATTTCTGATAGTTCAGTGTGTAGTGGTGATTCTGGCGGACCATTAGTTTCATTAAATTCTGATGCTAAACCTGATAAATTAATTGGTGTTATTTCATTTGCTATGGTCGGTCAATGTGCAAAAAATTTTCCACAAGGTTTTACTAGAGTCGATACATTTTTGAGATGGATTAATGAAAAAACACGTGGGGATGTACAAATATGCTGAATCAAAATGTAGTGAAGCAAATATTTAGAAGCATTGCCTAAATTAAGAAATATTAGAATAATATTGTTGAATAAAATATTGAATGTTTTGTTTTATTAAAGTGAAGTATACAACTGGTTGACACACAATTTTACACAACCCTAATTTGAGTTTAATCTTCTTAGTACAGTTTTTTATATCAAAATACATTTAAAATTTCAATGCATTAAAAAAAATCGAAGCTCATATTGTAATTATCATCATTAAAAGAGTCATAAAAAAATTTGTTACACATTCATAGAGTTCATAAATATTTAAATATGCAATTTATTGGTTTTTGCTGATAAACTTTTCAAATAATATTGAAAATTACAAAAGGAACCACACACAATCCAAATAATTAAATTGGTTTGTAAATATTTGCTTTTTGAAATTCTATAAAGCGGGAAATTAAAAATGAAATAATGAAATCAAAATTTGTTCTATTGATTTTAATTTGATCCCACAATAGTGAGAAATTTAAGGAATATTGGTGTAATGCTAATTTTTTCAAAAATTATTAATGGTCATTAAGCCTTAAATTATGTAGGCTGACATTAAAATGTTAATTAAATAAATATTTTTACAGAAATTTTAACTGCAGCACATTGTTTATATGGGCTTCTAAGCCAAAAATTGGGCAAAAGAATTGCAAAAAGGAGTAAAGGTAACTAATTCAAATAATTAATTTAAAGTGTATTTCTTGAAAAATGGTTGAATAGAATTGAAATTTAGCTAAGACATCCTCATTTGAATCTCTAATATTACAATTCTATTGATCTAAATGTTTTTAGTTTCTGAATATAACCCGGTATGAGTACATGATATTGTAAAACTCGGCATCAATTTATATTAAATTGTACTATTAATTATAAAAGTTTCTTCTTGAAAATACATTTAGCCATTCTTATACTGTCTCACTCTTACATTTTTGTGTCGTACTTAGGAAAAAAATCCAACAAAAAAATGATAAATTGAAATAATTGATTTGAAACGAATTCTCTGTTAGCTTCGTTAGTTTATCAGAAATTCTGTTGACGAATTTCGGATTCCAGAAATTTCTATTATAGTCTTTGATCTAAAAAAAATTATAATTTATAATTTAAGTTTCTTCAAAACATTATTTTGGAATGAAACCCATAATTGTTGCTTAATTTCAAGAATTTCCAACTAAAAAGTTAATTAGACAGTTAATTAGACCAAACCTTTTAGTAAATTTTAAATTTCATTTCAATAATTCACCTTTTTGCATTATAAAGGCCTAAACTCTAAGAGAGGAAGTTAAAACAATTTACTTTTTTATTTAAATAAAATTGCATACCTTCAGGGAAGATATTAGAGTAAGAGAAGCCCATAAGCAGCCATATTGCAATTAATTTCAACAGATTAACTTAGATTATGTTTTCTCTGTCCGTTTTTTTAGTTCAATACATGCTCAACGAAGTTTTGGGCAGACTTGATTTTCCAATGAATTAAGTGGCTCAATTTTCGTTAGATTCAATTTCATTCTCAATTATAATCTTGATTATTTCCTTCTTGATGATTATTTTGAACTGAAATAGAGCAGACAATTGTGGATAAAAATTGAAAAAAAGTTTGCCTCCAAGGAAATTTATTTTTCATTTTATGAGAAAAATATTTTGTTTGAGATTTTATTGACATTTTCAATTTGATTTTTTGTAATAAATTTTATATGGAAAATTGAGGAAAATTTTTATAAAAAAAATTTTTTGATCGCAAAATTTTTCGATATCAAAAACTTTTTTTTCAAACAAAAGCAAAATATTTATTTTTTCAGAAGAAGAAGCCGGCCTTCAATCATCATTATGCATGGGTCATACTGTGCAGCATGATGGCTTTGATGATGATGGTTGTGACGCGATCTGTATTTTTAAAAATAGCTCAAAATCTGCATAAATTTGAAATATTCCATGTAAATTTATTTCGTTTTATTTTGGATTTGAAAAGTCCATTAAAATATTTCGGAATTGAGTTATAATTTTGATTACTTCCATAGCTCTGTGCATCTGCATAAATTCATAATTTTCTTCAAATTTTCTTCATATTGATTAATTTATTTTCATCTACATGTTTTGCTGTTCGCTTTAAAATTTTAATTTTATTCTATTTCTTTCCACATTTTTCTATTCATTGATTGAAAGAAAAATTTTTTGACTTATAACATTTCGTGAAATATGAAAAAAAAAATTTACCTTGAGTTCGAATCCAAATTTTACCTTTTTTTTTAAAAAAAATTTAATATTTTCATTTTGAATTGAAAATGAAAAAAGAAAAATTTTATCCTCGTAAATATTTAAAAAATAAAAAATTTTGAAAAATATATGTATAATATAATTTGGTGGTTTATATTAAGAATTTGTTCCTACATATTTTGTGTGAATGTTGTTGAGTTTGTTAGTTGTTGTGTGAATGTGTTATTAGATTAAGTTAAAAGTTTTCAAAACAATTTCTATACTTAAGTTTTTAGGATTGGAGTATGACCGCACAAGCTGTGGCTAGAAGCTGGTCAATTTTTAGACCGGACTTACGTCTGGATCCGTCAAAATTTTGACATTTTTTGTTTTTATACGTAAATAATATGATTGAGTTCGAAGCCTGCAGATTTTACAATTTTAAATTTTTTTTTTTTCTATTTTGAAGTTTTTTTTTTGTAAAACAATAAAATTTATTTAGAACAAAAAAATATTATGATATCTAGAGGACCTTTGTTCAAATACAAATTTCTATTTCCAAATTAATATTTACATTTTTAATAGAAAAACATAAAATTTAAGAAAATTTTATTGCAAATGAAAAATATTAAATAAATAAAATAAAAAATTCACTTCAATTGAATGGAGGTGACAGAGAGTTTCGCGTTAACAGTTTTGAAGAATTTGAAGATAAAGAATTTGTATTAGAAGGAAGGGAGAATTAAACTGAACGAATAAATTCAAACTTTATACAGAGTTACCCAATTAAAGAAGGTTATAATAACGCTGTTATTTAGCAAATTCTAAAGGAACAAAAAGTCAAATAATTAAGTACAATATTTCCAAGTTATATTATATACTGCGTATATTTCGTTATATGTTATTAGGAATTACTGTTATATATATATTATAACAGTATAGTAAAATAATTTAGAATATTTAGAGTAGAACTTAAATTTCACATTGAAAATTTTAAAAGAATTTTTAGTAAATCAAATTTAATATAAAATTTTTTTAATTAATTTGACAATGTTGTGGACTATGTAAATTGAATGTAATAAAATTTTTTATTAATTTTGACAATAACCACGAGAAAAGTTAGAAAACACAATTAGTAACAGCATTTCATTCGATTTTAACCAGCTGAATTAAAGCCAATATATTGAAAACCTGACTATATTAAATTAATTTTTATGACTGTAGGGCAGAAAACCGAATTTGTCAGGACATTTTTGCATAAAAAATTCAAGGATACGTCTGAACTATAATTTGAACTCGTGACTGTTGAATTTTGTACAAATAACTTTACTAGTGTTAGATATATGTAAAATGATCGTTTTGAGGTGTATGACAGCTACCTGAAACGGTTTTTCAAATTGTTTGTATTACAATAGCCTTTGTTTTCAAACATTTTTTGAAAAGTTAATGTTGTTTCCTATTAAATATTTTCGTTTTTGAGTTATCCGGAGATCGGTTATTTGTAATCAACTGGTGCAAAAATCTGTACCAAATTTAGTATATTCTTCCCTGAGATATTAAACCCTTCCCTGGGTATTAAAACGAATTTTTATTAAAATATTGCACTCACGACAAAATATTATTGCATATGTGCTGGAGAAATAAAAATAGAAATAAATTTAAAAAGTTTAAGCTAGTAACAAAAATAAATAAGATAATTAGTCAAAAAACTTCATTTTAATTTGCCAGTAGAAGATATTTTTAATATATTGCTTATTTAGAATTTTACTGAATTGTAGTAAAATCTAAAAAGAATTTTGTAAAAATTGGAAAGTGATAAATTTAGAAAAATAAGGAGGTTAAAAATAGACTTTGGTTCTAATAATATTTTAAACATTGTGGGCTTAAAATTGAGAAAATTAATCATAACAAATAAAATTTGGAAAATAATAAAGCAATTTAGAATAATGATTTATTTGGAAAAATAGTTTGCAATACTCAAATATTCTTAGAATACTTTCTAGTACAAAACGGCAACAGCTATATCCCAAACATTGTCTGTTCTTGTGCTTTAAAAAAAAAAACATTTCTATTACCCTTGTATAATATAGTTTGAGGGAGTTATAGGAGAAGTAAATGAAAATATTTTTCCAAAATTATGCTTCTTTGAAACTTTTGCCATTGTACTTCGAAACAGACGGTAGGATGGAGCTGGATTTTAAAAAGAAAATTTGTTTTTAAAGTATCACTAACTTAATTAGGTTTTTGGATTAATATTAAGATTTCAAATATGGTTAGGGCATAGAGCTATTTTGTGTATTTTAAAAAATTTTAGTAACAACAGTAAAGTAAATATTAAAAAAAAATATTTCGTTATAGATGGTGCCTCAGATCATATCTGTAACAAATAAGTACGTTGTTTTGAAGTGAAAGCTATTAATTAATCAACGCATACGTTAAGTTAATTATGACGTAATTAAAATACAAGAATTACACTAATATGTTATTAATATGTTAAACTTGATGTTAGAAAGTGATATTGGATCATGTAAATTTTTATATTAATTAATCATTAATATAGTTGCACAATACTATTTTAAATACCTGTGATTATTAAAATTTTGATTTTGCAATAATTTATCACTTAGGATATATACGAGTAATATAGAGTTCTTGTTCAAGAGTGTAACGAAAAGACATCAATAGCCTTGTATCCTTCTATCATCTACTCAAAATATGCACTAGGATTTTATATTTTATATCAAATGTTGCTAATTTTGTTAACTTCGGCATTATATTTAGACATGGACCTCGTTATTTGATGTTTTAGCTTTTAAATAATTCTTGCTTTTACTGCGTATTTGAGTATTTTTCTGCTCCATAGTATACCAAAGTTGTTTTTGAACATTGATTTCAATTTATCCAAAATTGTATGTGCATAATTCACTTGAATTGAACATCCTCTATATGAACCTAAAATAATTCAAAATTTTTTTTTAAATTTGTGTACATTTGAACGTTTCAATTTACAATAAAAAAACAAATATTCATTAAAATAATTTGGAAGTTGTTTAAAATTTTCAACTGCTTTCATAGCTCTCAATTATTAGGTTGTTCTTGTAATTTTAATTCAATTTTTCTATTCAAACTGTTACTCTGATCAAATTAAAAAATGTTTGACTTATAATATTTCGACTTAGCTCTGGAAAATTTTTACATTTTTTGTTATTTTACGAAATTAATATGCTTGGGTTCGAATCCAAATTTTACCTTTTTTTTAAAAAAAAAAATTTAATATTTTCATTTTGAATTGAAAATGAAAAAAGAAAAATTTTATCCTCGTAAATATTTAAAAAATAAAAAATTTTGAAAAAAATATATGTATAATATAATTTGGTGGTTTATATTAAGAATTTGTTCCTACATATTTTGTGTGAATGTTGTTGAGTTTGTTAGTTGTTGTGTGAATGTGTTATTAGATTAAGTTAAAAGTTTTCAAAACAATTTCTAGACTTAAATTTTTAGGATTGGAGTATGACCGCGAGGCTTAAGGGTAGTCACTGGTCAATTTTTAGACCGGACTCAGGTCTGGATCCGTCAAAATTTTGACATTTTTTGTTTTTTATATGAAAATAATATGCTTGAGTTCAAATCCAAATTTTACCATTTTTTTTTTAATTTTTTTTTTTAATTTGAATAATTTTTTTTTAAAAGAGTTACATTTGGATTTGGATGCAAACATTTTTTTGAAATCTAGAGACCTTTCAAAGTCAAATTTGATTTGGAAAACTTTTTACATTAAATCAAAATTGTATTAACAGAAAAATATAAAATTTTAAATAAGAAAAGAAAAAACAAAAATAATTTCAATAGAATTGAGGCCAAATGATTTCCAGAAATCACTAAATAGGACAGAATTTTAAGAGATGTGACTATATTATTAAGATATGAAGAAGAAATTTTATTACAAAGAAGAGAGAATTTAACTGAACCAATAAGCTGTAATTTTATATAAAATTATCAAAGTTAATGAAGACATTGAATTAAGGCAAATTTTAAAGAGTTAAATTCAATTAAACAAGCATTGTATTTTCATATCTTCAATTAGATTGTGGTTTCCTGGACGAAATTTATTCAAAAATGAACTATCCAAATAATATTCAAACAATCTGTATAGAGCGCTCGAAATCTGAACTTTATCATATAATTTGGCTTATAATTTACCGCAAAATGTGAAGGTATAAGATAAATAAATGTAGGAACTGGTATAAAAGTAAATAGGTGCTCTTTTAATAATAAAACAACGCTTAGTTTAAAAGATACTGAACAATATAAATGCTTGTATTTATTTTCTTTCATCTCATAGTGTATTGGTAAAGTGCTTGGAATGTAAAAAGCTGTTTAAAGAGATCAAAACTACATAAAAATTTCTAAATCGTGCACAAAATACTGAAAGGAAACATAAAATGGTATAAAAAATTGCATTGTATTTTTCTTTTTCGCTTTTTAACATTATATAATATTTTTTTCATGGTATTTCTTATTTATTTTTGAAGAAACTTGCATGAAACCAACATGGATTAGAAAATATGCCTGCTACCCGCGCACTCTTTAGAAATTGATTGGAAATTTTCATTTTTACTACTACAATGAATCAGTAGCGGTGTCCTATTAAAATTACAGTAAATTATAATTTTTATGACAATTTCAGGCACAGTTTTGGTTTATAATTTTTCAAATCTAAGTTTCCAGATCCTTGAATGAGTTCAAATCCATCGAATATGCACTTAAAAAATATGAAATCCAACCATTATGGGCAATAGTTTCAAAACTCAGTTAACAACAAAATGGCAGATTATAAGGCAACGGATTTATAACAAATACTGTTATAATGTATTTTATATTCTTTTGAACATTATTATGCTCCTCCAGAGTTATGAAATGACCAAAATAATATTAAACTGAGAAGTTTATTCTGTAGAATCTTACCATGAAAAATGGAATTATTATTATTGTACATATATGGAATTTCAAAACTACTAATAAAAAAAGAATATTCTTGCCAATACACACGTAGAATATTGTATTTGTACATACACCCGTTATGAATTTATTACATTGACACAAAGGAAATGCAATTTACCACAAAAATGAAATGAAGAAATGGAAAATTCTTTGATTTTCAACATGCAAAATAGTTTTAATAGTATTTTAATTTTTCAAACGAAATAAAACAAAAAGACATGCTGAAATAATGAGCCAGTCGACTGAATTTTGGGAATATTTTCTACAACAACAAATAAAAGGAGAACAAGTAATTCAGTCAATAATAAGCGAATCAATTATTCCCTCTACAAAATTTTGCCTAATAATAAAATTAGTTCTTAAAATATTTTAAATCAGCTTTAAGAGTTGTATTGTAGCTACTTCAACCTTGAGTCGCGAGTCATGAGTCGAACCATGTTGTTTGCTTTTATTTTAGCAAATATAAATAAACTCAACAATATCACAATTTTCTTGCTTTTACTGACCACATCAAATAATGAGGAATTTGTGGGACTAAAGTTGTAAATAAAATAAGTTGGTATCATGCATATGCGATTATTTTTATAATTAGAAAATTTTAAAATACATCACTTGTATTTTAATTTTGTACTTTTATTTTGTAAATATTTTATTTTTTTTTGTGCAATATATTGCCAATCAATTACAGAACGTAATCGGTAATGCCGCATTTACAAATTGCGAACAAAATTGTTACTGAGTTTATAATTCTGTTAAATCTTAAGTTTACTCAATAATTTTGTTATGAGTAAACGTTTATAAATAATAATAATATCTGCATTTAACAATATTTCGGCCACGCTATTAGGAAACTTCCTTTCAAAACTTAACTTCAATGATACTCAAATTGGTAAAAATATTTCGTTAGAAACCAGGAAATTGGGTCCTTTTACACATTCTCATTTTATAAATTTATTATTCATTCGTTCTGCTTTCTTTTGGTTATACAAATTTGAAATTTTGTTGTCAAAATAATTTAATTTTCAAATAAACTGGTTGGCTGCATAATCTATTAAAAAAAATTTCTGTTTCTTTTGCGGTTGTAATTGCTCTAAATTCTTAAAATATTGATAAAATAATTTGTTACATAAAATTTTTGTTTGTTCTTAATTTTTGTTTTTTTTTTCCCCCGAAAAATATGCAATATTTTTATTTTTTGCATTAAATAAAAAGATTTAGGTAGACTATTGTTTTAGAAAAGAAAGTAGGTGTCATGCTTAAGTCAAAAATTATTTTGCGTGCATTACATAAGATTTTCGACTTTTCTTCCTTAAAACTTTTTAGTATAATTATATACGATTCGTAGTATAACAAATATTTTATTGAAATTTTTGCTATATTGTGTTATCAATACCTTTTTCTTAGTTTAATTTAATTGAATTGAACACAAAATTATTAAAAATATTATATGAGAATTTTTCGAACTTATTTATTCTATAATTCTAGTTCGAATAATTCTTGAATAATTATAGGTTATAGTTCGAAATTTTGTTTTGAAATTCAAAAAATTTTGTGAATTCTTATATGCCAGCATTTTGAATTCTACTATCCATATCCATATTTTAGGCATAAATTTAGAATATCTAAAAATCCTTAAAGGATTTTTAATTAAAATCTAAAAGTATATGTTATTTACGACCTGTACCTCAATCTCTACAAGCGAAAGAATATTTGAAGTTGTTTTTACAGAAACCTTCTAAAGTGGATCTTTTAATTTTTTTGAAGATAGTTTGGGTGTTTCTACATAAATTTTGAATAAAAACTTTATTAATTTATAAATGTCGACTTTCCGAGTCAATTTACATCTAGAAAAAAAATTTTAATTTAAATTTTCAAATACAATGCAATATTGTTGTAGTTGCAGTCATAAAAATAATTTTAAAATTTGTTCTAGATCATTAAATTATTTTATGGCTTTAAAAATTTTAACATACTTCACAATTAATTAATTTTTTTACGAATAATTAATTTATTATAATTTCAATTCTTATTTTTAAAAATAAAGAATTTTGTTCCAAAAAAATTTCAGGTCGTAAGTTTAATTCTTTTTAAAAATAATTTATTTTATCTATCAAAAATAATGCTTAGGAAATTAATTTACACAATTTTCATATTATTCTCTGTAATATTTACAAATGGTGCAGATCAAACTTCGGCACCAATTGCAACGTCACTTAAACATTTTAAACCAATACCTAAAATTATTAACGGTCACAAATCAAATTCTAATCTTTTACGTTATCAAGTCTTTTTAAAAATTTTATCAGAAACAAATGAAATCATAACTTGTGGCGGTGTTTTAATTTCAAATTTATGGATTTTAACGGCAGCACATTGTATATATGGGTAATTTTTGTATTAAAAGATCAAATATATTATATACTTGAGTTTCATAATGCATTCTAATTCAATGTTTAAACGGACTAAATAAACTTTAAGCCAATTTTAGTAATTTATGTTTTATAGCTAAATAGGCTTCAAAAATTTCATTACTCCATTATAAAATTTAACGTTAATATTATTGGAAATAGCTATATTGAAATATTTATTGAAAATATTTTATATTTTTTCTTAATTATATTTAATGTAGAGCTCGTCAAGCTGAAATAATTCTTGGAGCCAATAATAGAAATAATCGATATGAACGGACGCAACAACATTTTTTTGTGAAGAATTCTAATTTCATAGTACATGCTAATTATCCTAGATTATATTATGATATTGGTTTAATAAAATTACCAATTCAAATTTCATTTACTGGTATTTTAGAATTTAATTTTTTATTTTTTTTAATAAATTTTTATTAATTTTATTATTCAAATTTTAGAAGCTATTCAACCAATTAGAATACCCTGTTTTAACGAGGTAAACAATAATTATATCGGAAGAAAAGCCTTAATATCTGGCTGGGGAATGACATCAGATGGTAAATTTATAAAAAATATTAATGAAACAATTTAATTAAATTTTTTTTCCATTTTAAATAGTAAAAGGAAGTTATCCATCATATCTAAATCATGCTGTTATTCAATTAATTGATATTAATGTATGTAGAAGACAATTTGAATCAAAATTTTTTGTAAATTATGGTGGAACATATTGTGCTAAAGGTATTCATGGTACATCATCATGTAGTGGTGATTCGGGTGGTCCATTAGTTTTATTAGATAATAATGGTCAAATTGAGAAATTAATTGGTCTTGTTTCATTTGGTTTTATTGGACAATGTACAAAAGATAAACCGCAGGGTTATCTTAAAATTAGTTCATATTTACAATGGATTCGACAAAATACAAATGGTCAATTGAAAATGTGTTAAAGATAATTTTAAATTACTGTTATTAATATACTTTTAAAGAATGTACACGTATTTGAATTAATTATGCATCAATTGAATTCTATGCATCGAAAGATTAAAAAAGTAAATAACAAAAGTATGTTAATATTTTTATTATTATTTTATATGTAACATATTGGTAATTGGAAGTAAAAAAATTTTCGATTCTCACAATCTTAAATATGTTAAACTTGGTTGATTTTTCAAAATTTGCTTAATGAGATGTGATATAAAAACGAATTCGCATTAAGAATAATTATTATACAATATAATTATTAAGTCTTTTTTTTATTTCATTTTGGACTTTCGACTATAATATTTCGACCAAATTATACAAATAACCACATAAAAATAACAACAATCAGTTATACAAATATAAAGAAAATTATTTTATAATTATTGAGAAAGTAAAAGGGCCTATAGTTGATCAAACCCGCTTTAAGATACTATTACAAAATAAAAAAATATGTGCATTTAAGAAAAATCATCCATAACTTTTTAAATTTCTGTAATTTTTTAAAATCTGCAACTATATACATAATGTGTATTTAACACAGATGTGAACAGAAATTTCTATTGAAAAATTTACTGTAAAGGCAATGGATAAATCAAGGATTATCCTATTCAAGAATTACAATGTCCATGTTATTAGAATTTTTTCATATTATTGATTTTTAAAAGCTTGAATAAATTCCCTTCAACGGCGTTCTAAAAATTCATTGACAAAGCATATTAAATTAAATGGAAAATTTTGTGTTTAGTTTCAATTACAATTTAGCCTCAACTAAGAACTCAATCTTCAATCAATCTATTAATAATTGGGTAATAAGTGAAAATAAAATTGCTTTAAATTCTTCAAAATTTAAAATCTAACGCAAAAATCCTTTTGCGTTACAAACTATTTTTCTTATTTGAACAAAAAAATATCTCACTTATCTTTAACCTACTTTGCTATTTCCAAAAAAATTTTCAAAGACGCAAAATAAAGTTTCCAATTCAGGTCTCTAGAATTTATAATAAAATCAAACGAAAATTTCACTAATTTTTATGAAAAAAATTATTTAACACAAAAAAAAAAATTTTGTTTTAAATAAAGGTAAAATTTGGATTTGAACTGAGGTCCCCATATTGCATATTATAAGAGAAAATTTTAAAATTTTTAAAGATTAAGACCTAAATCCGGACCTAGAGTGGACAAGATACTACCCAGAACCTTCACAGTTATATTGCGGTTGAAAGGTAATGCACATGGAAAACGTTTCAACAACTTAAACTAACCTAACCAATAATCTAACCTAATAATGATTCCCATTATAACACCATTAAACTAAACCCTACCAGACTAGAATATGAACAAAATTTATATTTTAATTACACAATTTTTGTATACACATATTTTTCATTTTAATTTATAAATATTTACGAGGATAATTTTTTTTTTTTATTAAATGAAAAATAAAAATTATTTATCAATTCAAAATCAGAAGAAATATTATAAGTCAAATTTTTTTTTTAAATAAATCAGAATGAAATTATTAAAAATAAAGAAATAATTGGAATTAAATTAAAATTTTATAAAATAAATAACAACAAAATGGATGAAAAAGAAATACAATGGAAATGTGGACAAATTTTTAAGGAAATCAATTCTATAAAGAAGAGGAACTGGGAAATTTATAACAGAATTCAAAACTATTTTAATTAGCTTTTCAGGTTTAGGAGAAAACGTAAAAAATTTGCTTGTACAAATTTGTTGTAAAAATTTTAAATGTTGGCAAAAAGCAACAGAAAAAAAAATGAAAGTTCAATCAACATTTTAATCATTCAAAAAACGAACAAGGAAGCGAAGGCGAAATACATATGTATATGTATATACATTTAGCAATGATCAAGTATAATAAATCAGTGACATCAAGGGACCTTACAGAAAATAGTTCGAAAGGTGTCATTTTATATCGGTTGGGAGGGTTAATCAATTACTTTAAATCAATCTATTACAAAATTTTTATTACTGCAAACAATGATTGCAGTCACCGCATGACATACGTCGTTGTTTTTCATAACATTTCACAGGATAAATTCCATTCATATTGCTAAACAAACAATCACTGATCGTAGTACAGTCATGTAATCATAAAGGCAGTCTCATTTCAGAAGAAAGATCATCTGAAGAAGCAGTCTATTATGTAAATTGCACCAAAAAGTACTTTTTTCTACATATAAAAGGGTCTACAAATTTTTTTGTTAATTGACTTACCACCCCATAGGTGGCAGCATTCCATAAATGGCGGTAATTGTCTTTTGATTCTGTTCGTTCACGAACTCTACAACATCTACGTAGAATATCTTTAAATTTTCTCTTCAATCAAAAAATTGTAGACAATGCAAAACGAAATTATTAACCAGAAGAATTTTTTTTTTAAACAAGTTTAATTTTAATTTTTGTTTCTGTTTTATATTGCAGCCAATTTTCACAGACTTAAGCTGGCATCGTTTAAAAGTTTCATTTTCAAATCAATTTACTAAAATTTGATTAGATTGCAATCTTGTATTAAAGCAATTTGTTAGAGACAAAAATTCAATATTAAAATTATTTGAAGGTTCAAAAATTCAACTTTATTCTTTATTCATTTCACCATATACTCATTTAGATAGAAGCTCATCGGTAAATTGAAATTTTATAATTTTTTCAAGAATCAAATAAAGATTGTCATTTTTAGATTGATTTTAAGAAGTACTCAATTAACAGAAAATATTCAATGATGATAATGAAAGTACTGAAGAAACATGCCCTGATTTAACAACATTACACAAAAACGTAACGTCCCTACTTAATTTATTGGAAATTTTTGGTCGAAAATATCGTCAAATTGGACGTTTCTCTGTACCTCATACAAGTAATCATTTTTATCGTTTTAAAATCATTTACAAATAAAGAAGATTTAAGAAACTTTTATTTTGAAATCATTTTTCGACATATTGGACTTATTGAAGGTCAAATGTGTCTATTTAAATTTAAAAATCTTAATGACGAAATAATTCAATCAATTAATATTAATTCAGGAAAAATTTTAACTTATATTGCCAAATCAAATTCAGGATATGAACATACAAGAGCAGTATTACAACAAATGATACTAATAATATTGAAAATTTAATAAAAATTTTATCATTATTTTGAAAATAATAATTCAATAAATTTTATAGATTTATGATGGGGAATGGCATCGTCTTCAAGTTGAAATTATTCCAATGAGAGGAGTGATTGAAAATAATGATGAAAATTATGAAGAATATTGGAGTAAAACAATTAAATTTCATGAAGATTGTATTCTTTTTGGTGAAGGTAATATTCTAGATTCAACACCATTTAATACAATTGATCAAATTGGAATATTTTTTAAAAATAAGTTAAAGAATTCGTTCACAGGTGTAAGATTTTCTATAACTTAATTAAAGCAAATTTATGTACTACATATGTTTCTATTTTAGTTCGATGTGCTTTTAATGAAGATGCACGATAATTATGAAGAAATAACATGTGAAAAAAATACATAATTAAAAAGCAAATGATTTGAAAAGTGGAAGGAATTCTTTATTAAATATGCTATGCTTAATAAAACTCTTCAGATAGACTTTAATACATTTTAAAACTTGCATTTGTTTTAGGTATGAAACAATATGTGACACTTTCCGCAATTAGCTAAATTTACACTGCAATAAGACTACTAAAGCGTTGGCAGCGCTGCGAACGAAAAAAACTCTTACGTAATTTCAATAAGGTCTCTCTGCTCCCACAAGAATGAGTTCTCTAATAATTAAGGTTATGAATACAAAAGATGAAAAAATTTTTATGCTGTTGACTTTACAGGAGATCTCGAATTCACAAACACGAATTCCACCTATAACTATACTTTATGAGATTTTAAAAAAGGTTTGGAAGTTGGAATAAGTTTTCTTGCAGAAAAAAACTATAAAAAATAGAGTTGACCGTGTCACTTTTGCGATACCCGTACGAATTTATTTTCCTTTGTGCAAGTAAATATACTATAGCTGACTATGGCACAGACTATGACATTAAGATGTCGTATTACCATATTAATTTATACAAAATTTCAGTACTGTGTTTTCAATATTTTCTAAGATATGGCCAAACTACTATTGAAGTAGTATGGCAACTATCGGAAAAAGCCATACAATTTCAACGAATTTTATCAAACACATCGGCCATACTTATATATTTACTCGTGTGGAATTCAAATATCACAGCTTTTATAATTTCTGAGATATAGCCAAGTAACATTTGAGGAGACAAGCAATTTCAGTAACTTTCATCAAACATTAGCCCTACTAGTATATTTGCTTGTATTAAATTTCAATACCATAGTTTTTATAGTTTCTCAGATATAGACAAATAAATTTTTAAGTAGTATGACAGCTCCCTTAGCGTTACAAACGGTAAGGCAAATTTAGTATATCCTTCAAACATATGTTCGTACGGGTATGTATATACATACGTAGTATCATAATATTGCTATATTGAAGCAACCGGAAAATGTTGTTTCCTCTTCACTTTTATTTTAGATTCAGTTGATTTGGCTCTTTTATTAGAACCAGTGTATTTTAATAATGTTGTCGCAAGCCAATTAAACAACTTGTGAGGCGGACATGTCAGATTTATGAAAATTTTACACTATCGATGTTTCCCGTGATAAGTTTATCAAAACAATCACAATTTCTTCCATAAATGATCATTCCGAGTTTTGTTTCCCCTGTCGCATATTTACATTAAAATATTAGAAGTACTGTTGATAAAGTAATACTGTAAGTATTACTTTATACTTATACTTATACTTATACTTACAGTATTACTTTATCAACATACCTTGACATCCAAATTGTCATAATACAGTATAAAATTTCGCAATTAGAATTTATCAGCTGAATTCTACATTAATCCAATATTATTACAAGTTCGATCT